ATGTCTTAAAAATTCTAAAACTATAGCTATGTATAAGAAAGGAAACAAAAATTGCTGCAATAGCTATCGTCCCATCTCCATATTGTCAGTCTTCTCCAAAATATTTGAAAATATTATTAAGATTCGCATGGTAGATTTCTTAGAATCAAACGACTTATTTGGTTTATCCACGACCATAGCAATGATGAAACTCCTTGACGAAATTCATACAAATAATGGAAATAGGCTTATTACCCAGGCAACTCTCTTAGACTTAAGCAAGGCATTCGATTGCGTTCCACACGATCGCTTGTTAGATAAATTGTATAGGTGCGTGATACGAGGCCTGTCATTAGATTTGATAAGATCATATTTTCAAAATAGATGGCAATGTGTTGTAGAAAAAGGGAAATTTTCATCTAAAGAAAGAATCACCATTGGAGTGCCACAGCGCTCTATACTAGGTCCCTTATTTTTCCTGGTATACATCAATGATCTGCTAACTAATGTACCTTCCAAGGGTAAGATCTTATTCGCAGACGATACCACATTATTAGATGCGGCTAAAACAATTTAGGATGTAAACTACCATTTAGTTCCACATTGTAGGTTAACAAAGACACAGAGTTATGTAAAAGTAATGGCAATAAAATTATATAATCTTCTACCAGACAAATTTAAAATATTGCCTATCAGAAATTTTAAACTAGAATTAAAACGCTATCTACAACTTCATTGCCTTTATAGCATTGAGGAATTCATAAAATCTTTTAAATTATAAATTTCGCTGTCGTATATGATTTCCTATATTCTGACGTGTCCACATCATAAGTTGATTCTGGACTAGTAGTAAAAAAAAAAGAAAGCCTGGAAGCAGATATTACGACGTGCCCAGAAAATACTCGAAGCGGCGTTCTGGATCCATCGAGGGAAGAAATAAATTGTTGAATTTTACCCACGCCGATTTTAATCACTCGTCCAACGAACAATATCAAGTTTTATAATGAGTTTCCAGAGGATCTGAAAGTACTTAATGCAGGAAACTTTTAACAATGAAACGAAGAAATTTCTTTTAAAAACACCAGTATACATCTTTCAGGAATATTTCAATCTGTTTAGAATCTAGAAGTTATTTGTATTGTTTTTAATCTGCAATATGTTTTAATTTTATGCCTACATTTTATATGTTGAGTTAATGATTCCATTTGTCTGTTTACAAAATTATATGCTGTATACCGCTGTTTGGTGAATAAATAATTAATATCTTTATGATTATTCTCAAAATGGATTTGGAGGTATTTTCTGGTTGGTGCCAACTGTCGCCACAAAGAGAAGTTCTAGAGGAAACCGACCAAAGCCTCGATCAAGTGTATATTTATGCATATGTTTGTAAAATTTGCGAATTGTACCGTTATTCAGCAAACACTAAGACATTTTGGTAGAATTTTTACTTGGAAACATCAGTAATTAAGACATCCTAACCCGAACTGGAGACATTCGGTTTATTGGTATATTGAATAGGCCGCATCCGGCTTAAAATTATGTTTATTCTCCTTTATTTAACTCTTCAGGTAGCATCCTTCGAGCAGTGACTCATTTTGTCATTTATTCCTTTCTTAATTCGTTTCTTAATTTTGTCACTCCTTATTCTTTTGGTACTGACAAGTGACTCCAAAATGCCTAAAGCTTCTGCAAGTGTTCACGGCTAAATAAAAAAGTATCCCGAACTAGTGTTAGATGAAAATTCTAAATCTGTTTTTTGCAAAGTGTGTTGTAGAAAGATAAGTAAATTCTATATTTTTAATTTGTCACACTTATTTTTATTAGTTCCAATTGCAAACAATTCTACTAATGTGAAGTCACAAATTCTGCCCGCAGAATCTTTCTACAACACCCAGAAGATGGCAGGTCAGCAAGAATATTGTTCCGAATTGTGTAAAGCATTCCTCAGTGCCGATATACCTTTTTCAAAACTGAATAACACCATGCTATGATCATTTCTTAAAAAGCGTACCATGAAGTCAATTCCAGATGATAGTACTTTATAAAAAAACTACGTGAACAACGCGTTCCAAAAATCACAGCAAAACAACCGATTCATGTGGACGTTATGTCGCAAATTTGTTAACTGTAATTTTGAAAAATGTGGCACTTCATATTTGATTAGCACGAAAGCTTTGGAAAAGACAAATAATAATACCACTACAAGGTTTATTCATGAAGGTTTACCGAACTTTTTTCTTCAGGAACCAGTTCCAGTTGAAAAAATCATATTAATGTCATCACATGCTGAAATGTATTTCCCAATTTAACATTACCTCCACAATCTGTTGTAACTACTTTTTTAAAGGAATCTAAAATAATTTTTGCTAAAACTGAACTGCCATCTCAGTTGGTATTTATTTCATCTAATTTTTCCATAGTTGCTGATAAAATTTCACTTGAACGTAATAATTTAGCACTGGTAGATTCTATTCAGTCAGTAACAATTTTTTTTTTAATCTATACAATGTCCAAGGTAAAATAGGTGAAAAGTTTTTCAAAAATTTAAGTCTGTTTTATAAAAAAAAAATGTAGGTTTGCCGCTTGTGAGTAAAATTTTGGGAAGAGAATTTGTAAATGTGGATATAGATCCAGATATAATAGCGAATTTAAAATTTGCTCCAATAATCTCTGTCAATGATAAAACATGTGTTGTGTAATAAGCGCGACTCATTTGTAATGGAAAATTTGAAAAACATTTAATAATCAATTGATTTAATAAAAATCAAATAAAAACAGAATATAAACAGAACGAAAACAGAACGACATTAAAGAAAAATAAATTTGAATACATATGGATTAATAATGAATATCCTATCCACACAATAGAAGTCCTCTTTATTCTTTTTCACTTACTGTCGTGTATTTGACGAGAACTTTGTGTACTCGACGTGTAATTTGTAAATTTAATTGTAACATTTTTATCTTTAAGTCTAAAGCAAACTAAATAATAACTCGTTTCAGTACAGCGCCGTTAGCGTGAAGTGTTTTGTAGGTAGTAATATTTTATTGCAGTTTAAGTAGCTTATGATTTACTCCCTTTGGGGTTGTGAGAAGGTAACTTACTTTAACATATAAATTTATCACCGCAGCTGCAAACCACAAGACCACAATCGATTAGTGTGAATTAAAACATAAATATTAATAGCACTATTTTGCGGCTCGAATTGAACTTTTTGCTATCCTGTAGATAACACAAATTTTGATTTTTACGTAGATGACGAAAAATTTATTTATTACTTTTGTAGTTTTAGTAAGCCACGAAAGTATTGTAATCGAGTCCATCAGGCGACTAGTTACTTTCATATTATCTTGATTGGTTCCTGATTTATTTTATGGATTAAATCAGAAATCCATTGCTTTGAAATCTTGCAGACGGTCCAAAGTTATTGAAGGCACAGTTTAATCAAAATACATCTGTCTAACCACCGTTTTTCGTTAGATAAAATAAATTTAATGAAATTAATCACTCTCTAATTTTTTATTGATGTAATTAAGAGCAAGTTACCCCATTTTCTCGAAAATGTGAGAATATATTAATCATTATCATTTAATAATGATTAAATAATATTCTATTATAATTATAAGAATCAGAACATTTTGTTGGATTGTGGCTTAATTAAGAATTAATTGTAATCATCTGTTTTGAGACGATAAACTCACTCAAATCAAACTAATTTATACGTGACATTCTTCCGATGCATGAACATAAACACTTCAAGTTGTCATTATTGCTGAGAGGCCATTTTTAATTATCGAACGTAAACTAAGAAAGTATAATAATTGACTCCAAGCCAGGCGACTTAGTATTTTCATGTTTTTTCAACATTTCATGAACCCTTGACAGGGCCATAGGTAGTAGGAGGCCAACAGAGGCTGAGCCTTCCCTAGAGAAATTTGTACCTTCCCTAGAAGTAGACAAGTTATAATTAACCATATGTGAATTACAACATCGAAAATCAAAATAAAATGCAATGTTTTATATAATAAACGGAGATCGAAGCAATAAAAAAGGCATTGCGATGCGGTTATTGCAAATTTACAGACTATATTTTAAAAACTGGGGAATATAGGTGAAAGCTACTAAAGAAATAAGTCAATCACTTCGTTAACAAAACATGAACGAGTTTTTGTTTCACACATATCTAAAACAAATGTGTACACTTAAGCAAAAACTACAGGATGTTGGAAGTTCTGCACCGACAGATATTTACCTAATAATAATAAATTCGAAGTCGAGTACGGTTATCGACGTTCCGACATAAATTCGCTCTTATATACACTAGTCGGACGATCGTATCAGAATCTGTTCAAACATTAGAGAAGCGAGTTGAGATTTAAGCAAGAGAGTTGTGCGCCCCAGCTGGTTCGCAATAATTATTATCAATCTGAAAGAAAATCCCACCGTCACTCAAAAATAATGAAGTTTCCCATTTTCCCGAAGCTTTACACATGCAAATGGGCTCGTCCTACGCCCGTTGCCGTAATTTAACACACCCCATGGAAGATATTTATTTAATATAAGAGAGCGTTTATTAAAATGGGTCTTGGCACGGCGTTAATGGCCCTCCTCCTTTGCAGCGTCTTATTTATCACGACTTCTTCCTTCTTATTTATAAATTGCGTTACGATAAAACAAAACGCAGGTTGCGAAACGAAATTTACTGGCTGGGTGTGATATTACTACGCCGTAGTGAACGTAGTGTGCGGCCTCCAAAAAGTCAAATTTACTTTTTATATAGCGGATGTTCATTTAAAAAATTTATCAAGTTAACTTTGACATTTTGGTAAAAGGAAACGTAGCGAAAAAGGCATGTACATGATTAATTCTTGAAGTACACAGAGGATTCTTCCAATATTTATATTTTTCTTTTATTTGATTATAAGACTTATATATGTTTTTAATATATTTCGTTCATTCATTGTTTCAGTTGTCTATATTTGGTCTGGAGTGACCATGATGGGAAATGGATTAACAATTGATCGAAAAATATGAATTTATTGACAAAGATACGACATTATTTGTGAGGCAAATAAGACTCCATCAAATATGCATATGCCTTAAATGAATAGACTTCACATTTATTTTTTTAGATATTTTCTGTAAGTTCTTCTAAACCTATATGCTTTAATGAAGCACGCCATATTTGTTGACAGTATTCTCTGTCGTACGCTACCAAAGGTTTCCAGAAAGGCCTACAGTCACATAAAAATTTGCCTGATACTTCTTCCAGTTCGTTTGAAACAACTGCGTCTACTAAAGTCTGCGAACCTTCCCAAGGGTCCTGAAACCTGCGAATGATCGTCATGTCTTCACTTTTTTTATACGCACCTTGGCAAAAATAAATTCTAAAGTTTTCAGAAATATTTTTGCCACAAATCCCAGGTTGTGGAGAGGACTAAAAATTCCAGTGGCGACATACCCCGGATGGACAGCGTTTGACGTTACACCAGTACCTTTTAATTTTTCAGAAAAAATATCAGATGCTATCAGCACTGCTAGCTTGGAGTTACAATATGTTTGTAAGGACGCAGTTACTGCCTTTGAACCCGCGAAACCTAAACTGTCTGGTGTTAAGTTGTGCAAGTAAGCAAATGCGGAACTTGTGAAAACGATTCTGCTAGGAGCCGATGTTTTCATCAAATCTGGAGAAGGAGGAAGGCGTTGAAAATGATCACATTATGAACCCTATTCTTACCGAGTAATAAAAGTGTGAGTAAAAGATGGCCAAAGTAGTTTACTTGCATTATCGAATTTAAGTTGGGTTGAGATGTCGTACTAAATTGTAGGCCAATCCCAGCGTTGTTAACAAGGATATCTAATTTGTCATTAGTAGCGATAACTTCTGCGACAAAATTTTTTATTGATTGTTGCGAAGTTAAATCTAGTTTCATCGCATATATGTTGTTGTTATTTGTGTGTTTTATAATTTTTTGCTTTGATGCTTCCATGTCGACCCAATCAGCCATGATTATTTTACAACCTCTAGAAGCCAAATTGAGCGCGGTTTGATAGCCTATACCTATAATTGTATATGTTTGCATTATGATTATTGTTGTTGTCAAACTACATACCTGAATTTGCCCCTGTTATAATTGCAGTTTTACCTAGTAGACATCCTGGGCTTCTGCAAATGCCCTTAGTTGAAATTTTGAACAGGTAGATTATAACAACCATTAAAATAAAAATTAACAGCATTGTTGCAAGCGACCGGTTTCTTACAAAATGCAATTTTATGGATTTAGCACTAACACAGAATTAATGAATGCGGCGATAATCAACCTTGGTACCTACTTTCGACTCCAACAGGCGAAACAAAAACGGGATTTAAACTTGTTTTCCGAATTCTTACTTAATTAAAAATACATTAGAAATTTAATTCGAGAACCTGAACGGTGTCTTATATTATCGCTAGATCTAACGAAGTTTCATCTGTTGTAATTCGTTGTATAACTTTGGAAGATTCGACATGGAGATACAGTGTGATGCAACAAATTTAGCAAGAAACGTAATACGGGTCAACCCAAGGTCGTCGACTTCGCGCGTGCAGCACCATTTTTTTGGCGAAAGTAACTTCATCACTTATTTTATAATTATTGCGCTACCTTTTGCAAAAATTGGTCTAAAATTATTTAGACGATAGTTCAGGGCCCCTGAGTAAAGGTAAAAAAGCATAATATGCGTATATATCAACTCAGTTTTTCCATTAAAAATTTTATGATAACGTGATCAATATTTTAGCAAAAGCACCTACATCTGTTTGAATACGGACGGTGTATTACTAATAACAAGAGTATTGTGTACACAAATTTTCGGGAAAAGGAGGTGAGCCATTTGTGATTTGTTCACTAAAATCAATTACCTCATTCATTTTTTTTAATCACCTGTATAAGTAAGTCTAAAAAATATGAATGCAATAATAAACCACAAGTATAGTAATGCCGTTATCAAATTTTTTGAAGGAGATAAACGGATAAATTTTGTTTACGATAAACTTAAAACGTTTTTGCAAGATTTCAGAGGATTCGGTTTTGTAATTTCAAAGTTATATAGTTTTAATTTTTAACTCACTGAGGATTCATAAATCACAAGTGCAGGAGGATCCCGTGTTATTAAATTTAAAAAACATTTGCTATTGTAAATTTTGGAGATCTCTTAATAGGGATCACTAGCCAATTTTTGGTTAGCGTGTTACCACATACATACAAAATTTGACAATCAATCCAGCACTTTCAGAGATTACCTGTTTAATGAAAATCGACGCTAACAAACGCCGGACGATAGACGATAGAGAGACGGAAACTGGACAGCTATTTTTTCGTACGTAGCCAGACGTCCGAAGGAGACGATTACAATACTCTTTTAGCTTACTCAAATTGTTAATTCTTTTTTCTGTAAATTTCGTTCATTTCTTCTCTCAATCTCGTTCAGGTTTTGGTTGATTTATTTTCAGAAACATTTTAGACACTTGTGGATCTAGGCATCTAGCTTGGTATTGCCTAAAAGATTCTGTTCCTATATAAATTGGAACCACTATGACTATATTGTTATTTTCATCACTTTTTTTGGAACAGTCATTGTAATAAGCGAGAAACACTCTCTTTAGACTTCGTTCGTGGCACTGTTGCCTATAAAGTGTGTTATTTTAATGAAGCAATTTTAATATTCTAGTGTCAGCTTCCTAACTCTATAGCGAGTTTTTACTTCCTGGGCATAAGCTAAGGAAATACTGAAATAAGGTTCATCCAACGAATGGCTATTTTTATGTTTTCTCGACGTTAAGTGACCTTTACAGTACGAAAAAGTAAGTCTCGTGTTTCCGTCTGTCTGTGTCAATAACTTTTATTAGGTAGGTGATTGATTACGGAGAGTTCCGAAACTAATTAAAATCAAAATTATATAACAACATTTTGCAATTTAACTTTGAAACTGCAGGACGGAATCCTCTGAAATTTTGCAAACGTTTTAAAGTTATCATAAGCATGGTAAATTGTTAATCAAAATTTACCCAATTATCTCCTAAAAAATCGATAACGTTATGTCAAAATTTTACCCAATGAATATGAGCCTGCACTTGTGGTTTAACAATGCATTCATACTTTTTAGGAATATAAACTGACCCAAAAAAATTAATTAATGCGACGGTATTTTATAATTATTATTCAGCTAAGACAACCCTGAGTCTTTTAGAGCGGCAACCCAAACTAACGTTCATAGTTGTTTTTGTATTTAAACAAATATTTTAAGATTAAGTTGTATCCGGGTGTGTGATACAACTAGATAGAATTGTTAACGCGAAACTTTTGTCAGGTTGGCAGTAGCCAAAAATGCTTATGCATTTTTAAAACGTAACAGCGCGCTTATTCATTATCTAATCATGAGAATCTGACCTGACTTGACCTGACCTAACCTAACCTGACCTTAGCAAACAATTTAGTGACAATTGGATAGGACGAGTTTCTAATCTTGGTTGAAGTCCCAATCTCACACTACTGGACTACTTCTTGTAAGGAAGAATTAAAAAAAGGTTTTCCAAACAGCTTTAAATGATATGATGATAGCCTTGAACTTCAGAATGGTATAACCACAGTCGTGTTGCAGTAGAAACAGCAACACTGTACAAAGTCTACTAAGCACAAGCACATTGTACAAAATGATACAGGTCACGGTGTATTTGAGATTTTTGTTTTGCTGCTGATTTCGTGAAACAACTCTTTGAAATTAGTATCAAATGTCTGTACTACGTTTATTAAAAAAAAAAAAAAAATAAATAAACTGTGAAATCTTTCTTTATTAAGAAATGAAAAGTAATACAAGAACTTAACTCCATGGTTTTAGATTCATTATATGCCCCGACCTTGTTGTATTATGCCTGGTTGTAAATCAAATTTACCGCACAACGTTGAAAAGAAATCCACTGTTCCAACTTTTGGTTTTCCTAAAAATGTCTTATCAAGAGAAGCTTGGCTTCGTTTCATTCTAAGACAAAAGTGGACTTCAGGATTTTCGGCTGCTGTGTGCATTAACCGATTCACTTCAGATGATATTATTAACCAGCTACATAGAGGAATAGATGCGAAACTGTATCAAGGTTACCAATATTGAAATATAGAGCTTTGTTCAGTTTTCAGTAATTTGTAACTCTATATTTTAAAAAACACCGCAGCTCCAGGAATTAGATTAGTTTAGATTAGATTAGATCGAAGACGAGCAATTGTAACGCATCACACAAAACAGCTTGAAACACTTTTGAATCAAGATTTTATTGACTACTGCTTTACACTTTTGTACTATTGTACAAAAGTGTAAAGAAAACAAATCAGAGAAATAAACCAGTGTAATGTCAGAATGTTACGTATGGTTTTATCTTGTGGAATTTAACAACTGTGGATGCACTTTGAGTTAGTGTAAAGTTTGCTTCAGACTTGGACATTCTACTTTATTATAACAACCAAGAAATTCAAGATGATTTATTGTTAATTTTGTAAGGTACTTTAAAATTAAGTCGGTGATCCCAGTTACAAAATTTACTCATCCGGTACAAAAAAGAAAATTTAAACTTGACCATTGTAATAATTTTAGTTATAAGTCATATTTTTGTAGAAATTTATGGGTAATGAACAATATTTTGACAATTCTGAACGTCTTGAGGCACTTGTGATGTACGGAATCGGTTTACGAATTTTTTGCGAAAACAGGCGATTGGGTATATTTTTCAGGTTCTGGTGTTTGCAAAATCACGGAATTAGTTCAAAAACTTCAAAAACGTAACTTTTGGAGCTCTCTCTGTTAATTTTTAATATTTCCTGCAACCCACGGACTCGAAAAAATCCTCACAATTTAGCTAGAAATAATATTTTTGTCGAAATGTATGAGTTCTGGACTATATTTCACCTTGTTTTGACAATTCTGCGCTTCTTAATGCACAATTTTGAAAATATTTTATTCAATAATTATGGCAAATGTGAAAATGCATTCCCGAAAGCTACAACATTTAAAGAAATAATGAATTACGGTATCGCTGGTTTTGTGTAAATAAACATTTTGTCTGTTTAATTAAATGTAGTTTTATTTGGCCTCCATTTAATTTTAATTGCATTTTACCCTCTTACCCAAATATTACGTTGCCAAGATGAAGAACACGGTTTGTTAATTTAAACTGGGTGTGGTATATGTGGTATAACTGAAAATTGCAGATCATAAGTATTTGGGTCCGAAAATATTTGCAAGATTTGGAATTGGAAGACCTTGAGGCTTGCGAAAGAAACGGAGAAGGTGACATTGAGCACTTATTTTGAGCTTTGTAAACCAAGTTTCATTAGTTCATCTTGTTTTCATATTTAATACCCTATTCATTTAACAATTCTCTGATAATAAAGTTGTAATCGGTAATTTGAGTTGCCGCATTATAAAACTGAAGTGAGTCATCTTAGCTGAATAACCTTGTATACTATCAGCCAAATCAAAAACGGCTTACACCATTTTCTCAAAAATTTGAGTCGACAAGTACTATTGTTATTAGTATTATTCTGCACCTATTCAAATTTACTTAAGTGTCGTTGCTGCAATGTTGATGACATCATCACATAATTTTGTTATGTGTAAACTCACTTGAAACAAACGCGTAGCATGCTTCGTTGGTTATCAAAAAAAAAGTTCGGAAAAGTTAATGTTACAATTTTTCTGTACTTGTTCGTCTGTACTTGAGGAACGAGGAAAGTTCTATCTAAATAACTAGCTAAATTTTTTATTTGTTTTCCTTATTTAAACAGTATATATATTATACTTTTAGTATTATACCAGGTTTCTGTAAATGATTATACGGTCGGAGTAGGTCATGAACACGTGCGGTCTCTCAGTTTGGACCTTACTAAATGCCCAAGGCGCACGACAAATACCACACGCATCTGTATAGTTGCTTCCCCAGATGCTTCAAACTTTTTAAAAAATAAAACTATTTTATTACAATAAAATACGTTAAACATCACAGTAAATGTTGAAAATGTTCACCATTTTGTTCAAAATGTTCTGTAATTGATTCGTCAATGCCCATTGCTCAATTTCATATTGCAACAGGAACTTCTGATTGCTGAGGAAATTTTCTCAAAGATATTTGCGGATTCTGCTCAAGTCGTCTCAAATCATCGACAACTTCCTCAGATACTGAAGATCTTCCAAGAGATTCCTTTTGTTGACACTGCCAGTTCGAACAAATCTTTTGATTACATCTCTTGAATTATTAAATCACGGTATTTGGCCAGATATTTTTGCTTACA